CTTTAAAGCCCTAAATGGCTTGGGTCCAAACTATCTCAGAGACCGTCTTCTCCCATACAATCCTCCCCATGCATGCCGGTCCTCTGGGAGGAACTTGCTGCAGCCTCAGAAATTGAGGGTTGCGGCTACCTCCCAGAGGGCTTTTTCAGTTGTCACCCCCAGACTCTGGGACGGCCTGCCAGATGAGATCTGTCAATTAACATTGTTAGACAGCTTCAAAAGGGCTGTTAAGATGGTTCTTTTCCTGCAGGCCTTTCCAGACTAATTATCCCGGCCTCGGGTACTCCCACCCCTATGTTCTTCTCGTGGCCCATCTACTGATGGAATGAAGAATATTGCTATGGGCCAATGTTATGTCTTTGTTTTATGTTTTTAAACTTCTTAAGTGTGATTTTAATCTTTATTGATTTCATACTGTTTTAAGGGAGGGAGGAAAATGTTTTTGGTTTTATATATGATTTTACTGATGTGAGCCGTCCGGATTGGGTTTCCCAAAGGGCAGGATACAAATAAATTTTATTATTATTTATTATTATTATTACCAACTGTTTTAACCTGCATTCCCATGGAAGGTTTGGTTTGCACTCTGCATGTGTATTGCCCTCACATCCTGTGTTTTGATTTCTACTTTAAAAGACAGCCATTTTTAGACTTGCCTAGTAATTAGGAAGTCTTGAATTAAGACATATAACCAATCTAAACTTTATGGTTGATGCAGAAGTATCTTAACATTCTTGCTCAGCTTAGGACCCTCCAAAATGTTTATGTAGCAATGTCTGCAACCACTGAATAGCATGGTAAATCATCAGAGATTTGGAATGTTATGCATCCAATAAGGGCACTAAGCTGGTTTACATACTGTATGCCCCACTTGAGGGAGAAATTTAGAATATTCATATTTTTACAGCAATCAGAATATCTTAGACTTTGCATATACCAAATATATTCTCTCTTAAGTACAAAACACACTGCAGAAATAATCCAGTTTGAGATCACTTTAACTGCCATAGCTCAATGCTAGGGAATTCTGAGAACTGTAGTTCTGTGAGACATTTAGCCTACTCTATCAGAGAGCTCTGGTGCCACAATAAACTACAATTCTCAGGATTCCCTAGCAATAAACCAAAATCTAATGATGTCTTCAGGGTGGAAACTGGAGGCATGTAAGTACATGTAACAGTCAATGGGCTTACAATATAGTGTGGTGCTCAGATGTCCATTTTGTAGCTATACCATGGTGTTCAGAAAGTGTAATTTTCTGTAGATAGTTCCAGGCTGAGGTTGATGGTGGGACTGACGTTGTTGAAACTCTGGTGGAATGTCTTGAGTGAGTCTTCTCCATGAGTCCAAATAATGAAAATATTGTCAGTGTACCTCAGGTAGAGGAGTAGTTTCTGAGTCCAGAAGTTAAAGAAATGTTGTTCCAGGTTGGTCATGAAGATATTAGCAAATTGTGGTACCTTGTGTGTTCCCATGATAGTACCATGAACTTGAAGGTATATGTTATTACCAAAAGTGAAGTAATTATGTGTGAGAACAAAATGACAGACCTTGGTGGCTAGGTCTACTAAAGTTCCATATGGTGTGATGATTCTGATGACTTGTAGTCTATCCTTAGGTGGAATGTTGGTATATAGGGATTCTACATCCATAGTGGTTAAGATGGTATTCCCTGGAAGGTTGTGGATGGATTGCATTTCTTCAGGAAGTCAGTAGTGTTGTTCACTTAGCTGGGAATATTTGCAGCATATGGTTTAAGGATACTGTCCATATATTTAGAGACACATTCTGTAACACATTCCTTGAGCAATGAGGAATTGGTTTGTAACATCTTGCCTGATGAAGAAGCCTGTGGAGCTTCAAAAGCTTGCAACAAGTATATTATGCATTTTGGTTGGCCAATAACAGTATCACTGTTTGGTTAGGGTTTTTTGTTTGAATTCCTTGAGCAAGACACTCTTATTCCCCAGGGAGAACAATTTGATGAAGGTGCCTTTAGGTCACATTCTATGCATGGGCAATTTTACTTTCAGTGGCCTATTATTATTATTATTATTATTATTATTACAGTTTATTTATATAGTGCTGTAGATTTATCATTCAGCAATACAACATTTGTGTAAGCTTACATCCAAAGAGCCCTCTATGTTATTTGGAGCTTCCTACAGTCTGAAACCTTTCCGTTCCAATCATTAATGAAGTAGTAAGGTGACCTTCTTCTTTTTATTGTTGTTGTTATGAAACATAGACTGGAAATAACTAACATGCTTCAAACAGTCTCTAAAGACTAATTAGCCACAGGGAGTCATGTATTAAATCATCTTGGGTTGAATGAAATGTCTTTTCCAGGAGGAACAGGACTGATGTGCAGCAAATATAAATATACATATACATATACATATACATATACATATACATATACATATACATATACATATACATATTTATATATGCTGAGTTTACTACTGCATCCAGATCCATGATAGAAAGAGAGCTAATTCACATTTTAAAAGTTTCTGCATAGGAACAAAGGGAGTGATGTAATTATCCATATTTTTTCATGGATCTAAAATCTTTTTCATTATGCTAAAGGGGATTTCTTTCTGATGAATGTAGGGCCTTTGCAGACTGCCAGAAATAGTGCACATTAAATTGAGGCACTGCCCTGGCTCAGTGCTAGGGAATCATGAGAACTGTAATTTATTGTGGCACCAGAGCTCTCTGACAGAGAAGGCTCAATGTCCCAGAAAAAAATACAATTCCCATGACTCCCTAGCACTGAGCCAGGGCAGTGCCTCAGTTTAATGTGCACTATTTCTGGCAGTCTGCAAAGGCTGGTACTCAAGATTTCATGCTTGGTTATATATATTTTTTTCTCTTCTAGCCATGTTTTGTAGAGATGTTTGTGATCTGAAATGCCATTATTCACATACTGCTTTCCCTAAAGTAAACTCATAGACCTTCATGAGATTTCAGTCATATTATGAAGTATTCAGTACTGCATCAAAACTAAGTAAGATGAAAGAGATAGGATAGTCAAGGACAAGTGAGTCTCAAAATGACAGGTAAATCTGCAGAAAATAAATGGCAGGCTTATGAGCAAAGAAGGTCATCTTTGAAGGTTAATAGAAACTGTACACAACTACGATTTGAAATTTCAGCCCTGTTTATGGAATTCTTATAGAAGCAAAGAAACAGACATAAAGTGATATTAAGTGAATGAGTGAACAATTTCTGTGCCTGAATGGCAGAAAGATGTCACAAATAAATTGTTGTTGATGATGTACTTATGTATATTTTTACCCTGCCTTTTCCCCAGTTTGGGATTCAAAGTGGCTTACAAGTTTAATAAATCAATAAAAATTCACAGGATACAAAAGTTAAAGCAAGATAAATCATTCAAAAACATTAAAACCAGATTAAAACATGTGTCATTACACACACACACACACACACACACAGCAATTAGCAAGATCCAGCATATTGTTTAGCTGAGCTACCCATTACACAATGATGTATCAATTGCCTGTTGAAATATACCGTTAAGTCTTTTATTTGGTTATGAAAAGAAAGTAGGGAGGGTGCCAATTTACATTCTGTAGGGAGGAAGTTCCAGAGCTGGGGGAAGCCATTGAGAAGGCTCATGTTCCTATCAGATGTGCCTGTGAGGTTAGTAGGACAGAGAGAATGTCCTCCCCAGCAAATTTCAGAGCATGGGCTGGTTCATATAGAGCAGGGGTAGGCAACCTTTTTGAGCCGGGGGCTGGGTTGCTGTCCCTCAGACAATTGTGGGGCCGAAGCACCAAAAATAAATAAAATAAAATAAAATAAAATAAATTTTAAAAATTAAAAAAAATATATGCATGCACACTCTCTCAGCTCCAGAAAAGCCAAGGCAAAACCCCTGTGGAGATTTTGCCAAGAAAACCCCAAGAACAAGTAATAACAACAATAATCAATATCATCATGGTGGGTGGCAGGGGGTGGCGGTGGCGGCAGCAGGACCGGCCTAGGGCCGGTCCAAAGGCCTCGGGGGGCCGCATCCGGCCCCCGGTCCTTCGGTTGCCTACCCCTGATATAGAGGCATTTGTTGTTGTATGCTTTCAAGTCATTTCTAACTTATGGTGACCCTAAGGCAAACCTATCATGGGGGTTTCCTGGCAGGTTTTGTCAGAGATAGTTTTCCGTTGCCTTCCTTTGAAGCTGAAAGAGTGTGATTTACCCAAGGGCACTCAGTGGGTTTTATGGCTGAGCAGGGAATTGAACCATGGTCTCCAGAGTTGTAGTCTAACACTCAAACCACCTATGCCATGCTGGTTCATAAGGGAGAAGATGGTCTCTCAAATAACCTGGACATGAGCCATATAGGGCTTTATAGGTTAAATCCAGCAATTTAAATTATCTTGAAAAATGGACCAGCAGCCAATGAAGCTATTGCAACAAGGGAATTATATATCCCCTACAGCTGGACCAAGTTAGCAATCTAGCTGCAGCTCTTTGGGCCAGTTGGAGTTTCCAAACACTTTTCAAAGGCAGCTGCATGTAGAGTGCATTACAGCAATCCACTTGGGATGTAACTAAAGCATGTGTCACTGAAGCAAGATTTGAGATTTGAAGGAATGGACATATTTGGCACACAAGCTTTAACTGTGCAAATGCACTCCTGATCAACACTGATAGCTTCCAGGCTTAGAGTTGAATCCAGGAACACATCCAAGCTGCATCTTCAGAGGGACTGCAACCCCATTCACACAGGCTGAATCCCTTTTCCCTTATCTGCCTTTCAACTGACACAGGTACACCATTTACCTTGTTGGGATTAAGTTTCAAATACACTCTTGGCTTTATTTCAGACTGTCAAGGAACTATTCAAGGCAAATGTATTTTAGAGATAGGATTCCACAACTTAGAGATCTTTCTTAAAATCTGAGTAAAACCCAGAGCGAGATTCATTGTGCTACTGATATGGAAGCCACTGACTGCACTTGGGCAGAATACATATTTATTACTACAACTTGCATATATTACTGTTGTTGCCAGCATGGCTGAGTGTTGGACTAGGACTCTGGGAACTAGGGTTTAATTACTCTCTCAGCCATGAAACCCACTGTGTGACCCTAGGCAATTCACACTCTCAGGCCTCATTCCCACTATGATTTAAAGTGATTTGCTGATCGGATTATATGTGACTCCTTCACACTAGAATCAGTTTCCAAACTGGCTGTGCTCAGTTTCAATTGCAGTGAAGTGAGCCAAATGCAAAAACAAAACAAAAAAAAACACTCTTTCTGAAGATGGATCATTTGCTGGTTCTTTTGAAAATAACCAATTTGCAAGCGTGTTCAACAAGTGTGAACGACAGATCTGCATCATGAAGGGAAAGGACTAAAGGTAGAAGGTGAGAGTGAATGATAGGACACAGGGCTGCTCAGCCTCCATTGCCTGTGCACCCCTTCCTCTCTGCTAGGCAGCCAGGCAAAGGAGGAGGACCCTGGGCATGCTTTCCTCCTCCTGGTTTGGCCACTTCAATGGTGCTTATTTGCAGAGGAAGGCAGAGGAGGACTCCCAGGGAATGCGGCACTAGCCTCCTTGTCAGCCACGAGGAAGGAGGAGGAGGAGGAGGAGAGCCAAGGAGACCCTCCTCCAGTGCCTCTTGGCCAAGAGACCCCCTCAACCCACCTGGTTTTGAGGCACAAAGAAGAGCCCCGGGGTGCCCTTGCCCAGCCTGGCCAGGGCTGAGTGAGGGAC